ATAAGAGATGAGCAAAGAGAACCCAGGAAGAAACTGCAGGCCTGTCCATCAGGACTCAGCAGATCTGCACAGGCTTCAGGGTGGCTCAGAGGAGGATGGACGTAATTTCATTAACAGCTACCACGGAAAATTCAGAGAACCCGATCAGTAAGTACTGACGAGAAATGTGGCGAAATCCAGCAACCATTGTTAATGACACTAATTAAAACAGAAGAAGAAATCAAAGACTTAGCACACAACAGAGGCCACGCTCATTCTACACAGGAACACAAAACCGGCCCAAGACCTGCAGGCGCCTGGTGGTGCTGGCCGTTGCCATGGTTACTCAGCGTTTTCTTGGAGGGTCTAGCAAACACAATAGAATAAGAAAATCAAATAAGTAACATAAACTTTAAGAAAAATAGATAAAACCATTTGTGCTGATGGCGTGATTGCAAACCTAGAGACTTCCCTTTACTTTAGTTTAAAAAATTAAAAATCGGTAAGAAAAAGTGACACAGGATGACTATACGAAAGTGAGAAACGTTCACTCCTCTAGCAACAAGCACCCAGAAGTACAAGCAGTGAAGACACCTGTCCACAGCAGTGACTGCAGTGAAGGCGAAGGTGCTGGGACCAGCGACCTGACAACAGGTGAGAACGCCAAAGGGCTCACTGCTCCTGCACCCAAGGGCCCTCTGCTCCCACAGCCCAGGGGCAGTGCCCTCCACCCGCCTCCCCTCTGCCTCCAGGGGTTTGGAAACAGCCCCTCCAGCTGCAGGAGGTGAAGAGCTGGAGGAAGTGGCCCACGCCCAGACTGCGTTCTCTTGGGGAAAAGCTTTCACGCTGGGCGAGCTCTGAATCTAGTCAATACAGGCAGCCGTGCAGCGGGGTCTTCTCAGAAACCACGGGCAGGTCGGGGTGGCAGCTTTCCGGGAATGCCTCTGGAACGCGTTCCCGCCCAGCCCTTTCCGTCCGGGACAGACGGGCTATTATTGGTTTCCACCATGAATGCTGCACAGAGCTGGACAGTGGGGTGAGCCTGGGTAAATTCAGCCACCTCACAGCGGCCGAGGAAGGGGAGAAATGGGAGCCCTGTTCGCTGTGGTGGGAATGCAAAATGGTACAGTCACTGAGGTTCCTCAGAAAAGGAAAAGTACAACCACCACATGGCCCAGCAGCCCCACTTGTGGCCACGCCCCCAGAAGCACTGAGCAGGGTCGGGAAGAGATCTTCGTGGCCACGGGGGACACACATGGGAGAACCCACGTGCCGGTGGGCGAATGACTGATAAGCAAGTGTGGCCCATCCGAGCAGTGGGTGTTGTTCAGCCCGGAGAGGACATGGCACAGCTGCCACACGGTGCGCCTTGAGAACACCCCTCAGCCTTCGGGTCCGAAGGGCGCACACCCTGCAATGCCCCCTCACACGAGTTCATCAGGTAGGAAGGCGGGTGCCCAGGGCCGGGCAGAGGGGGAGTGAGTGCTGAACAGGGACAGTCCAGGTTCACAGGTGGAAACACACACCTTATGATTCAGCCCATTTTCTCGATAAAACCCACAACCTGCTGCAAGCCTTTGGCTGCCCCCACAGGCTGCTGGTCCTGCGTCCCTTGAAGATGCTCAGGAGCCTCGCCCTGACTCAGCCACCAGCCTGGGGCACAACTGCCTTTGTTTCCTGCTTTGCTTAAAGGCGCAGAACCTGTCGAGGCCATTGGGCACTCGATGCTACTGAAAAAAGGCTTTTTCTAACCTTTTTTGCCGGTTTTCTCTTATGAAGGACGGGCATTTTCAGAAATCCCCACTTCGCCGTGTTTGCTGAAGTCCTGACTTCCAGATTTGAATGAGACGCAGTGGTAAATGCAGCCTGGCACAGACAGACCTGTGTTCCCGGGAGGCGGACAAACCTGTGTTCACAGCCAGGACAGCACACCACCCAGCTCTGCGGCCCCAGAGTGTGGCCTGGCCTCCTCAGAAAAGTGGAGCTGGAGGTCACGGCCATGCTTGGCCAGAGCCCTGGGTTCCTCGACCCCCTGCACGGTCAGAGGGGGCATGGTTACTGAGCGAGGCTACAGGCACGGCCCCCGCTGGGATAGCCATGGGGCTCCCTGGCTTGGCACCTCCCAGACCCTGAACTGCAAAGGGTGTATCAGCCCAGGACCTGGGATTCCCCGCGGGTCAGGTGCTCAGGGAAACCTGGGTCCAGAGTGGAGCTGAACGGGAGGGGGCGGCAGAGTCCCAGGCAGGGGGGCGAGGAGCAGCTGGTGGCTTCCAGGCTCAGCCCTGGCTGTCCAGCCTTAGCAACTGTGTACGCGGCTCACACCTGAGGCAAACCCTCTGCCCACACTAGGCCAGCTCCTGGCCGTGACCAGGCTCTCCTCTGAGCCCTGAGGGGATGCCTGGAAGACTCCTGGGACTGCCCTGGCCCAGACGGGTGCAGGGAAGATGCGGAGAGGAGGGGCTGGGTGGGGGCCGGGAAGGCTCGGCCTGAAGGACGGGAGCCGCCCTGGGGAACCTGTGTGCGGTCTGTGGTGGCTGGCAGGAGCGGCCCCTGGTAGATGTCTGCTGAGTGGGTGAGTGAGCAGACAAACGTGTGCCTGTGTGACTGGCACTTGGTCCCCCCAGGAAGCCAGACACAGGCCTGAGTCTATGCCGAGGAGAAGCCGGGCTGTCCCCCACCCTTACCCCACCCAAGTCGGGCTTGTGCCACGCCCAGGGAGGGCCCTGAAACAGCCTGGTCAGGCCAGAGCTAGAGGGCCCCTGGGCCAGAATCCACATGACAGGGTGGCCAAGGTCATCCGGGCCCAGCTGGAGGCAGAGCACCCTGAGGGCATCCTGGGTCTGGGCTCCATGGCAGGGCCACAGCTGGGGACAGGATGATGACACAGCTTACCCAGCGCTCCCCGTATGCCAGGCCTGTCCTCAGCAACTCACAAACTCAGGCTCCTGGAAACCCACACCCTCTGAGGCCATCTGAGCAGCACAAACCCACCTCCCCACGCGGGAAGGCCTGCACAACTGCCCAACGCCCACCATTAGCAACACCCTGGGGTTAGACGCCTTTAAAAACTGCAAACATCCTCTGAAGTGAGTCTGCAGTGTCCACTCTGTACTTACACTCATCTGAGCTACGGCAGGCGCTGAGGTCGGGGGCAGGGGATAGGGATGTCCCCTGTAGCCGTTAGAGTCACAGGGGAGGGGAGCAGACAGGGAGTGTGGGGTGCAGACAGGAGTGTGGGGGTGCACAGTCCTGGCCTACAGCCACACCCTGGGCCTCATTTCTCTGAAACCACCTCAGGGGTGACTGAGCACAGTGACTTACAGGAAGGGACCCTGAATCAGTGTCAACCGTTACCCAAGCACTCATTGAATAACAGAATCCCTCTAAAAAGTATCTTTTCCGTCCGCTCCAGCCCCTCCTCCCGAAGCCTTGGGGAGCAGGCTTCTATCTATTGAGGTCACTTCTGTGTCCCCACCACCAAGGCCCAGAAAGTACTCAACACTTAGTCCTCGGCAGGAGACAAGATACAGCGTCCTGTTTGTAGAAGAGGAGCCTGAGGGTCAGAGTGGTTTGCAGCAGAATCCAGGACTCACAAAGTCAGCCTCATCCCTACTCACTGGGCTCCCCACCTGAGGCCCAGCCAAGATGCAGGGCCACAGGTCACATGTCCCTGGATCTCTCCTGGATGTCCCTGCCCCTCTCTGAGCACAGCAAATAATTGGGCCTGTTCCCCATCCCATGTGTCCTAAGAACCCCCTCAGGCAGATCTTGAAGAGGGGCCTCTACCACCAAAGGAAGTGCCTTCCTGGCCAACCTCCTCCCAGCCCCCACCCTGGACTAGGCCGGGCCCTGTCTCCTGGCCCCTGGTCCCCAGCAGCACATCCCAGGCGGGGACCCCGAGGGTTGTGGAGCTCTTCTGATGGGTGCGGGGGGCTGGGGAAGCAGCCCCCTGATGACGCTGGGCTGCCTCTTGGCCATCCTGGGCCTACTGTCAAGTGGGGTGAGCCCCGAGGCCCCCGGTGGCCGGTGAACAGGGGTGAGAACCGGACGATGCCTGAGTGAACAGGGGAGAGCAGACGCGATATCCCAGGCATGTCCTGCCTCTGTCCTCCAACCCGGTTGCTGCTTCTCCAAGGGGAACCAGGAGCCAGGAGCTGGAAGATGCATCTGCTCGCGCTCCCTGGAGGGTGCGGCTTTCCCAGAGCTGACGGCAGGTCCACACAGATCCCCCGAGGCCATGAGAGCACTGCCCTTCTCCAGCACGGGCCACACAGAAGCTGACCACGACACCTGTCCGCAGGCGCAGGAGCCAGACAGGAAAGATGGGCCTGGAGGCAGAGCCAGGCCACTTTCTCACAAAGGTTTTTTTGAAAAATGTAGTTGCTTTCATAAAACACCATGCTAATTCTGTGAGCAGGGGCAGGTTTGCCCGGTTATTTTTAAGTGAGTGAAGTAGCCTGGTGCCTCTCCATCGCCCATGCACAGGAGCTCTTTGGGTGTGAGGGTCCCGAGTCCACGTCTGAGCTGTGGGTCCTGCCGTCTCCACACGGTGCTCACAGCCACTTCCCTGGGCCCGTTATTGCTTTGAAATGCAGGTGGCCACATGGCTTGTTTTTGTTTCCATTCTGTTCTTATTGATTCTTTTTCTCTCCTTTTTTTGAACACGTGAAACATCCTAAAACCAGCATGCTTTCTGCTCACGCATAAGACCTCCCAGGGCTCGTAGGAGCGAGACCACCCTGCCCTCTCTTCCAGTTCCCAGGCCTGTGACTCGGTCCTGGAAACATTCTCCTGACAGTGAGCAGAGACAGACCAGAATCTGATGGCGGTGTCCTGCGTGCCAAGCACCCCTGACCTTTGTCCCTCGAGGGATGTGGGTCAGGGACGGGCGCCTCCTGTCCCGAGGGACCTGGTGGCCCTGAGGGAGGGCCCTGGGTGGGAGGTCCTCCTCCCTGAGCACGCCCCCCACCCCCTGTGGTTCTGATTCCCTGGAGGGGCGCCCGCCCAGCTCTGGGCGTGCTAAGCAAGCCGAGCCCTGAGGCCCCTCTTGCAGCCTGGCTCCAGCACTCCCACCAGCACAGGCTGCGGCTGCGGCTGCAACACGCTGGCTTTGGCACCACCTCCAGGGAGACACTGGGAAGGCCTGTTGGGAAAGCAGAGAGCAGTAGGGAGAGGAGAGGGCGGGGAGGCCGGGAGGGAGGGAAAGACAAAGAAAGGGGTGCGGCAACTGGCAGGCACCCGACCAGAGCAACAGTGACCTCAGCGCTGGAGAAGCCTCTCAGCCTCAGAGCCAGGCAGCCAGGGCAGCTGTGGGGCACTGAGTCCCTTTCTCGTCTGCTCTCTGCCGGCCACAGTGGGGGACCTGGGCCTCGCTGGCCAGCCGGGTGCCATCCTCAGCATAAATTGGAGCTCTGGGCTCTTGCTGGGACCATCCCAGGCCACAGCCTAGCTGCCTGCCTTCCTGTTGCTCCTGCTGGGTGAGTACTGCGTGTGCGCCTCTGACCCCAACCCCTAAGTCACTGGCCTCCTGGCTTCGCCCCATTCCCATACAGAAACCTGCAGCACCCCAGAGGGAGGCCCGAGTTGGCCATGCAGTTCTGGGTATAGTGAGTCCAAAAGTTGACCCTGCAGGTCTGGGTTCCCTCGGACGGCAACCCCAGAAGTGGGTAACTGGGGATGCCACGCCTGGGCGCCAGGGCTCCAAACCTGCCGGGCACCCTAGGTTCCTAGACACACACCTGCAAACCCAGCTTCTCTTTCCAGAATAGGGGCCAGGCCAAGCCTGAGCCCGGAGGTGGAGCAGGGAGGGAACTGCTTAAGGCTGTCACCTAAGCCCCGTCCGGGCTGGCACGCAGCGGGTGTCTGGGGACCAGCTCTGCAGCCCTGTGGAGCTCTCCCCCTGCTTCTAGGTGATGGAAATCCGGACCCCTGCCGCCGCCCAGGGCAGGGCCCTCTGGGCTCTCCTACTGGCCACACTTGGCACCACAGCCAGCCAGCCACTGGGGGGAGACTCCGTGTGTACGGCCCGGCCCCTGGCCAAGTACAGCATCACCTTCACGGGCAAGTGGAGCCAGACGGCCTTTCCCAAGCAGTACCCGCTGTTCCGGCCGCCCGCGCAATGGTCATCCCTGCTGGGTGAGCACAGCCCTGCCCCTGCGCGTGGCCTGTCCACGCAGGGGGGATGGCACCTGGCAGCTGCACCACACCTCACAGTCCGGGGGCACTCTAACCCAATTCACCTCAGTGCCAGCTATGTTTGCTGGACGCCTACTGCATGCTGGCCAGTGATGGCCTGGGCTCTGGGGGTGGGGGGCAGAATGGCAGTCAGGGGCAGGCCACTGAACTGGTTCCCAACAGTGTCCCCGGGCAGCACGAGGCCACAGGGTGTCCCCATGTAACGGTGGGAAGGAGGGGTGCGCCCACACGGGGCGGCTGCTCATGCAGCAATGGGCCCACAGGGGCAGCGCACAGCTCTGACTACAGCATGTGGCGGGAGAACCAGTACGCCAGCAATGGGCTGAGGGACTTCGCGGAGCGGGGTGAGGCCTGGGCCCTGATGAAGGAGATTGAGGCGGCCGGAGAGAAGCTCCAGAGCGTGCACGAGGTGTTCTCCGCGCCCGCCGTGCCCAGCGGCATGGGGCACACCTCCTCGGAGTTCGAGGTCCACGCTAGGCACTCACTGGTAAGTGGCAGACGGTGGGAAGGAGGGCAGAGGCGTGGGCTGTGGTGGCCACCCTGCTGAGCACCTGGCCCCCCAGGTGTCCTTTGTGGTCCGAATTGTCCCCAGCCCCGACTGGTTTGTGGGCGTCGACAGTCTGGACCTGTGTGATGGGAACCGTTGGAGGGAGCAGGTCACCGTGGACCTTTACCCACATGACGCGGGCACAGACAGCGGCTTCACCTTCTCCTCCCCCAACTTCGCGACCATCCCGCAGGACACAGTGACCGAGGTGAGGGCGGGGGAGGCTGTGACAGCACTGGCCACTCGGGGCCGCTCCTGTTGCCCAGCTTTCTTTCTTGTTTGGACAGCACCCCTGTCCGTAGGGTCACGGGAGCAGGGGTGTGGTCCTGCCCAGGAGGGAGATGGCTGCGCTACATGATGGGGGGTACGAGGTGGGGGCCTGGAGGAGGCCAGGTCTTCCTGGTCCCTTTCCTGGACCATGGGCCAGGTGCCCAGTGAGCCGCGAAGGCCCAGTTGGGGTGCTTTCCACACTGCCCTGCTGGACTCTACTGGCTCCCACCCGGGCCAAGCACACAGCCGTGCTGACCGCCCTTCTCTCATCTCCCCAGATAACCTCCTCCTCTCCCAGCCACCCGGCAAACTCCTTCTACTACCCACGGCTGAAGGCCCTGCCCCCCATCGCCAGGGTGACCCTGGTGCGTCTCCGGCAGAGCCCCAGGGCCTTCGTGCCTCCCGCCATAGAGCTGGGCGGCAGGGGCAACGAGATCGGGGACAGCCTCTCGGGTAAGCCCAGGCCCCACCCCCACTACCGCGTTCCCTGTCCTCCACAGCCGGGCTCCTGGGCCAGTGCTCAGGCCCGCGGGAGCCACCGTGCCCACCACTGGCGCATGGGGCAGAGAACCACTCGGAGAGTGTGTCCCAGGGGCAGTGCTCAGCTCACGGCAACAGACAGCTAGCCGACACCCAGCCCTGCACCAGCTCTGACCTCGCACCCTGAGAGTGACCCTGAAGGAGTGTCCCAAGAGGGACTGTCTGAAGTGGCAATAACACCACCTGACACCCACCACTCTCCCGAGGCCAAGCCAGTCGCCCACATGTGACCCTACAAGGAGTGATGGTCCAGGGGCCGAGTGACGTCATCCACCCCCGCGGTGCTCCCCTGTAGCAGCCCCAACTTGCCATGGAGGTCACCCCATTCTAAGCCAGGCTCTTGGGTGTGAAGTGCCCACCACCAGGCTGGGCCAGGACCCCAGCAACACCAGGGGTCAGGAAGGGAGTCAAACCAGGGAGGGCACTGATGCTCAGACAGCCCAGGGGCCCGAGCTGAGGGCACCATGAGCCTGCGTCTCTGAGCAACTTCAAACATGGGTTCAGCACCAGACCTCAGGGGTCCTGGTGGTTCATAGCATGTGGTACAAGATGATGGGGTTCTGGGGGTTCAGAGCACTCTGTGAGGATGACTAGAATTCTGGGAGACTTGGTAGTTGGTTGATTCAAGCTCTGAGCTAAAGATCAAACTGGCCCAACATGGGTAAATGCAGCCGGAAGGAGGTGTGAGGGGGCCCAGCCCCGTGGGAGGTGGGCCACTGGCCTGTCACGGCAGACGGGAAGGGCCTCACTAAGTGGACCCCTCTGTGCCCTCCACGGCAAACGTGGAGGTGGCACTGCCCACTGGAGCGGGAAATCCGTCAGGCCCTAGGTGTGTGGGGCCGTGCTCCCGCGTGGTCAGCTCTGACGCGGGTCAGTGACTGGGTTCACAGCAGTGGGTGGAGCCTCAGCGTGGGGCTCCCTGAAGCACAGGTCACAGCGGGGTCCCCTCCCCCAGGAATGGGACATGGCTGAGTCCCCGGGCTCCCGTCCCATGGCTGCCTGTGGAGAGGAGCAAAGCACCGCTCGCAGCGTAGAAGCATTGAGTCCAGTCGTGTCAGTGGTTTCTCAGGAGGGTGGGCGGCATTCTCTTCGGCGGACTCTGAACCATACTGCGAAGGCGTTTCCCCTCCACCCGCCCGCAGTCTGGAGCGGGTCTCACGGGTGAACACACCCCGGTGCCCTTCTGCCACCCACTCCTCCTCCACGCAGCTCACGGGTCTCTCCTGTGCTTGGTCCAGTTCCAGAAACGCCGCTGGACTGCGAGGTCTCCCTCTGGTCCTCCTGGGGGCTGTGCGAAGGTCTGTGCGGGAAGCTGGGAGCCAAGACCAGGACTCGCTATGTCCGTGTGCAGCCTGCCAACCACGGGGCGCCCTGCCCCGAGCTTGCAGAGGAGGCGGAGTGCGTCCCTGACAACTGTGTGTGAGCCCTGAGCCGTGGCTGGCGGGCCCAGTCGCTTGGTTGGGACCACACAGCGAGCAGGCCGAGTGCAGCTTCATCACCTCTGAGCCGCACTGCTGACCGACCACTCTGCACAGACGTGCCTGCAGGCCAGAGGGGACGTCAGGACCAGGCGTCTCCTTTCTGCAAGTTCTCCCACGTGGCCCCCACACCCTAAGGTCCCTTCTTGTGGAGACTCAGACGTCTGCTCTAGCTCACGTCCGGTGTGTGTACCACCTGCGGCCATGGTCCTCCGTGCACGTGTGCACAATGCCTGGCCGGGTGCCCTGCAGGACAGCCACCCACCCCAGGCCCAGGGGCCGAGCCTCACGTGCTGGCTGTGAAATACCTCGGTCCTGGTGCCCAGGCGGCCGCTGGCACAGGAGCCCTGAACTCATGCCTGCTCCTCAGAGCAAGGCTGCCCCGGGCACTGGCTGCTCCTGGCATCCCAGCAGTGATGCTAGGGGAGATGAATAAAGGGGGGCAGGCTGGGACACCGCACCTGGCATTGTCACATGACTGATCTGTGCACTTGAATAAAGACAATCTGTTTCCTGACATTGGTGGCCATGGTCTGGCAGGCACTGGACGAGGGCAGACAAGGGCCGCCCACCTGCCCCCCGAGTAGGGTCTCCCCCAGACTTCCCTGAAGAGCACACAGCAAGCGTCAGAATATGTAAACATGGTGTCAGGCACCCTGCACATCTGCAGCCCCCTCCCCAGGCCACTGAGCACCAGGGCCCCACCTCACTGCTTACCTGCTCTGGCCCTTGTCTGAGGTTGGGGGTTCAAAACCTTGTGCTACCAGCAAGGATCCCTCAGGGACTCCCCAGTGAGCGGAGTGGAGGCTGGGCTGGGCCCTCAGAGGACGGCGGGAGATGGAGACACTTTCAGACCATTATTCCTCCCGCTTGGATTCCTGCAGGTCCCTCTCCCTCACCCATCCTGCAGCTACGGGCCTGGAGAGGGCTCCTCCCGCCCTACACAGGCTCCCCCTCCACGCCTTCAAGGACCCAGGGGCCATATTGCTAGCCTCTCAGGAACAGGGGGTTCAGCTCCCCCTTGACACAGCAAGTCCCTTTGGTCGCCAGGCCCCTGCCCCATCCCCCCACTGGCCGGAAGATACCCCTTCCCCTCCCTGACAGCCTTCCTCCATCCTCTGCGAACATTCCCCTCCTCGGCCCCATTCCTCTCTCCAGAACAGACTCAGATTCCCAAAGGCCACGCTGACCCTCGGCCTGGGGAGGAAGGAGTGAAAGCAGCTGCCTGTGACCAGTTGCTAAAGGAGGGAGGGAAGGCCCAGTGAGGGCCTTAAACGCGCTCACGCCTGGAAGTGCTGCTATACAGACTGGCAGCGGCCCTGCGAGGAGGCACTTTTCTGCAGCATGTTCTGGGCATGTAATCTTGGGGCTCCCCTCAGAGATGCTTCATGACAGCACTCCCCAGGGAGGGGTACCAAGCAAGCTCCTCAGGGAGCCCAGGAGGAGCCGAGCCCTGTGTGCACAGCCCTGCCCTCCAACGAGACGGACACCCCCGCCCCTAGGAGCTGGCTTTGCAGGCTCCCAGCGAATGGCTGTGGGGTGAAGGACATACACGTGGTGACAGCCACACAGCACTGCTTGGGCACATGGCAGACACAGCAAATTCTTGCTGCATGAGCAGGGACTCCACTCTCTTCATCTGTTTTGCAGGAGTCCTGACACTGAGCACATAAGATACCAGACAAAATGAGACACCCTTTTAAAAAAAGATAATGCCCTGATGAAGTGGTAGAAGGTACAGAATTCCTCCAAGGCCAAAACAGCAAGCAGCCACTGGGTAAGTGGTATGCGCAGGAGCCAGACCCCACCCTGGATGCCCTGCTGGCCTGGGGTGTCCAAGGCTCTCATCTCACGGCACACCCACGCCCCCCCCCACCCCCCCCACCCCCCCAGTGTGGGAGCGAGCAAACAGCTGGCCCTACAAGGGCACGGCCTCTCTTACACTTGGCTCTGCAGAGAAGAAAAAAATTGTCCCTGAAAATTCCTGAATGTCAGCCCATGCTCACACAGGCATGAGATCTGAACACCCCTCATTAAAAGTTTTGCTTGGAAAAAAAAAAAAGTTTTGCTTGAAAATTCCTGGGCTGGTGACGCCCTGAGGCGCCCGGAAGACATGAGCATAAGTCCTCCCTGGAGACCCTCCTGTGGATTCAGGACTCACAGAACCCCACTGTAACATGAACTCACAATCAAAGCGCACCGACACACAAGGAAGTCAGCAGTGCCCCCCTAAATCAGAGGAAACAGCCCACTACAGAGTCAGACCCACAATGCCCAGGTGCTGGGATTGTCATGGGGAGTACGTGACTGAGCACATGACTGTGATGCAGCCGGAGGGCAAACTTAAGAAAGTTCCATAGAACCAAGCACCTGAACACATGGCTGCACACGCCAGTCCCATGACAGAGACCAGCAGGCAGTCTCCCAGGACCAGGTGCTACACATGGGGCGTGTACAGTCCCATTAGGGCACCACACGGTGGGGGGCAGATACAGCCGTACAGACCCGTCGACACCCATGTCGCCTTGCCCTCCTTCCTGGGCAGGGGGAGAAGTGACAGTGTTATTTGGGGCCAGAACATTTACTGCTCATGTCAGATGCTCCAGACCCCAAAGTGTATGACAACATGGAGGCGCCTTCGCAGATGCCACCTGGAGCCAACACCCTCAGGACGCCCACCCTGGAGAGTGCCTAGAGCCTGCGGCCAACTTAGACAGAACCTTTGTTGTGCTGAGGCGGAGATTTGGGAGACAGACGATGGAAGTAAACAGTAAAGGAATCTTGCGTTATACAGTGCTCAGCTCTGGAGAAGAGGGGATGGAATACTTGCTGGTGGTGACGACGGTGCTGGTGCTGGTCCTGGTCCTGGTGGATAGTAGTGATGATGATGGTGATGATGATGATGGTGGTGATGATGACGGTGGTGGTGGGGATGACAGTGGTAGTGATGATGGTGGTGATGATGATGGTGACAGTGGTGATGACGGTGGTGGTGGGGATGACAGTGACGGTGGTGGTGGGGATGACAGTGACAGTGGTGGTGGTGATGACAGTGGTAGTGATGATGGTGGTGGTGTCAACTCTATTCACAACATTCAGTACAGGAAGGTTTTGGCCGCCTGGGTCAGCCTGGGGAGAGTGAGGGAATGGGTGAGGACAGGCTCACTCCGAGGCTCCTGTGGGTTCTGTGGTGCTGCCACATACTGGATAGCTGAAGGGCACTGGGCCAAACGTGGCTGTCCCAGCATCCACTCAGATACCCGCAGGTCTCTTGCACAGGCTGGGAATGTCTACCCTGGGCTTCAAGGGGCTGCAAGCGCGCCCAGCAGGGGCGGACCCAGAGCTGTCACGTTGAGGAGGAGGTAGCAGTGCAAATACGGGAGGAGGGTAGGGTCATGGCAATGGTCCACCATGCTCAGCAACACCAAGCGCGTGGCCAGGGGCAGGGCTGAGCAGTTGGTGGCACTGGGGGGTAAGAAGGTAGGGGTAGGACAGTGAGAAGTGATGGGATGGGTGTCCTGGCAGAGATGGTGGACTGAACACTCACATCTAACCCCACTTCTGTCCAAACTCCACTAAGACTATAGAAAAGGATGTTCAGATGGCATAACCCAGAAGGCTGCCTTGGGCACTGGGTCTGCGCAGGCGCTCTGAAGGGACACCCCTCCCCCCCACTCCCTCCCCCCAGCCAGACCCTAAACCCAGGTGGAAACACCATCTGAGACACTGACATTCCATAAGAGGTAGGGGAGAGCTCTCACTTCCTCTCACTTTCACAAATAAGCAAACAAAAACATTGAATTGGGCCTGGAGCAGAGCAGCTGGAAGGGCGGGTCGCCTGGGGGTTGCTGCTGAGCACAGGCCAGAGCAGAGTCCAGAAGACAGCCTGGCGCTCTCCTGCTGAACGGGGCCTCTGAGACAGCAGTGTCCCTCGAAACCAGGGAAGAGAAGATGCATTCTCTCTGGAGGAAGCTTTCCCAACTCCCAGGGGGGCTCAGGCCTCCCACCAATCACAATCAAGCCATGAGTGTCACCCAAAAGTCACCAATTAAACCAAAAAACAAGTCACTATAATTGATTGAAAGTAAACAGAAAAAAACCCCAATAGATTCTGAGAGCCAAGGTAATGAAATTATCAGAACTAGAACACAGAACAGCTACAACAAAAATGACCCATCAACAAGGGATGATTAGAAATGAACAGCTACATTCGGAAAGAAAGGACTGTGTGGACCGCCAGGCTCAGTCAGTAGGTTAAAGAGCCGATCCAGGCTCGGCTGGAGGAGGAGCTGGGGAACTGGAAGGCGTTGCTGGGGCCATTCCCCAGAAAACAGCACAGAGGAGGCAAAGAGGCAGGAAACCTCCAGAAGATGTGGGAGAGGGAATGAGAAGTGTTAACTGCGTCAAGCCCGACACAGATATACGAGGGATAACGGAGAAAGCTCAAATAAAAAGGCACCTTTAGAGCCAGAAAGCATAACACATCCCAGACAGAACAGATGAAAGCCGCCACGCCTGTGCACGACATGAAACTACCCAGCCCCAACACAAGCGACGACCTTCAAAGGCCCAGAGGGGGGCAGATCACCCACGAAGGCACATCTGTGGGAGCGACAGCCATTTTCCACAGCAGCCACGGAGTCAGAAGGCAGCCAGCACTACCTTCCGTGTGTGAGAAACTGTCCACCAGAGTTGTGAGTGCAGCCCCAGCTTTCAGGGAGGGAGCTTACACTTTCAGATGAAGAAAAGCTGAGTTCACCCCCAGGCGGCTGCCGGGGAAGGAGCTCCTTGAGCAGGAGCTTCAGCACCAACGCACCCGTCTCTGCCCCTGGAAAAGCTCAACACAGAGACAGCCCCGGGGACAAACACCCGTTACCCAGTGTCTTATTTACATCAAAGGAACCCAGGACCGGGGCCGATGGGGGAGCAGGAGGCGCAGGTCCACCGGGACCACCGCCAGCATCTGTCTGATGCAACTGTCCTGGAGCGCTGGAGTCTGTGGACGGCCAGCAACTCCCAGGGGAAGACTTGGATGGTAAACTGTAGTTAATTTTGATCAATTTCAGCTCTTAGCACAGTAGCAGCTACGCGTCCCCCACTCCAGCCAGGGTCAGGCGGCTGCGTACCTGCTCCTGGAGCAGCCTACGTGCAGCCTGCGGGAGCCCAGGTGGGCACACAGGGTCTTGTCTCCCAGGGATCTGTGAGGTGCCTGGCGACTGGTGCTTCTGATCACAGCCATGCAGACGGGGGTGGAGCGGGGGGGGGGGGGGGGGGGGGTACCATGGTTACAAGCCCTGCCCTCTCCAGTGGAAGTCGCTTGCAGGAGATTTAAACAGCTGGCACCCTTTTCTCTCGCCTCCCCCTTAATTTTTCACTTTTTCCCCTTTCAGAGCCAAACACTGAGGAGAAGGTATTTAAAAACAACTGCGCATACAGGGAACACTAGAAAGTGCCTGGGCGTGCCCAGGGGCGTCCCAGGAGAGACCTGAGATCTTAGGGTTATTCCTCAGGTGACCTTG